AGTTAACGAGTGGAATCACCTTGACTCCTTGAGGAAGCACTCATCTCTGCTGAAGATCCTGACACCTTTCAATCTGGCATCAAAACTCGACACTAAGGTCTTTTAGCGCTCTCCCACCCATCGTAATTCACCTATTGAGGCTTCTCGACGTACATATCAAGATCAATAATGATTACCTATATATGTGTATTTGTATGTGTGCCAAATATATACAACAATACGTTTGTAATTTTAATTCCAAGTACAGACTATAATAGTATATATATTCCCAGTCAATATTTGTTAAAAGAAATATTACAAAATTAAAGGCTAACCCTTATCCAGATCCAACTGTACATAAGCTGTGGCACACTTCGCCTGCCTCTTCTCTACAACTGTTTTACATCGTAGGTGAACCCATGTAGTTAGAAGAGAGAAGGTAATTTATGGCTAGAGCACACTGAACTCTATACTAGTATTATTATAGTTTATTATGTACCAGAATACTGATAACCAAATAAGTGATAAATTCACATAGGTACGTCATCAGTAATTTCCTATTGTAAATAATCTACTGCATTCAAATGACGTGTACTTAATCTGCATCATTGCAGCTAGGCACGATTAATAACTGCCGTATGATGCGTGTGGGTTAGCTCTAGTACAGTTACCGCAGGCTACAGTACCGATCACCGCGTACAGTTGCCGCAGGCTACGTATGGGTAGTCTAGTCCACAGAGTTGGGAGTATTTTATTCATTAGTTTACACTGTTTTCCAGCTAGCTATTCGCTTGTTCTCCAGTTCATTATGGGTGAGGTTAGTTGATGAGTCCAGTAAAAGTATACACAGAGTACGTATATAAACATTGATAACATATATGTTGATATTAAGTGCTCTGCTCTACGATTACACTATGTAAATAAACACGCAAACAAGCGAACAGCGACCGGAGTAGAACCGGAGTTTATTGCAGCACCACCAAGCGGCTGAAATATCGCTCGGGTCCTCATTTCAATGAAGAGGGGTTATCCCAGCATAGATTTCTATGATAATATTCCATCAGTAGACCTCACTTATGAAATAGTAAGCAGACCTTGCATGTAACGTCTCCGCTGCATATACCAGTCAGTTAATAATCTGGCTACGTTACTGTTTGGGCGCATGCGCAATATATCACCAGAGGAGCTATATTTTGTGCTTAAAATGCATTTAATATGGTCAGAGGGTATCTCATCATAAGTTTCTGAAATAAATTCTTATCAGTAGGCCTGCGTTTATAATTAGAAGAGCGCCCTATGCAATAGGGTGCAAAACTAACACTTCATCTTCGCCCGCCCTTCCCATTGTCTCCCCTGGCGCACGCTCAGCCTCCTCCTTATTCCACCGCCTATCGGCTGTCTTCCCTGCTACCTTCCCTCAGCCTCCCTTCCCTCTCTGCCGCATCAAGCTATATTACGTAATTTTATTTTAAGCCGTACTGCACGTCTGAAACGGTGCTCGCGCATGCGCAGTATCTCCTTAGAAAAATAATATTTCGCCAAATTTATAAGTTTAAAATGAAGAGGGGTTATTCCAGCATAGATTTCTATGATAATATTCCATCAGTAGACCTCACTTATAAAATAGTAAGCAGACCTTGCATGTAACGTCTCCGCTGCATATACCAGTCAGTACATAATTTGACTACGTTACTGTTTGGGCGCATGCGCAATATATCACCAGATGAGCTATATTTTGTGCTGAAAATGCATTTAATATGGGCAGAGGCTATCTCATCATAAGGTTCTGAATTAAATTCTTATCAGTAGGCCTGCGTTTATTTCTTTCCTGGACACACAAAGAACGCGTTTCTCAATTACATAAAAAAATTATAGTAAATATAATAATATAACATAAATAACACTATTATAATTATAATTATGTAAAGTGATTAACCAATTACAATTTTAACTAATCGTTACTGTATTTAGTATTTATTATTATTAATTAAATATACTTCAAGAGATTATATATATATATAATATATACATCTAACTATCTATCCATCTATCTATCTATCCATCTATCTATCTATCGATCTATCTATCTATCGATCTATCGATCTATCTATCTATTTATCGATCTATCTATCAATCTATCAATCTATCTATCTATCTATCTAAGCAGACCTTGCATGTAACGTATCCGCTGCATATACCAGTCAGTACATAATCTGGCTACGTTACTATTTAGGCGCATGCGCAATAACTCACCAGAGGTTCATATTTTGGGCTGAAAATGCATTTAATATGGTCAGGGGGTATCTCAGCATAGGTTTCTGTAATAAAATTCTTATCAGTAGACCTGTGTTTATTATTAGGAGAGTTCCCTAGCAAATAGGGTGCAAAACTACTACTTCAACCCCGCCCGCTCCTCCCCTTGTCTCCCCTGTTTGCACGCTCAGCCTCCTCCTTCTTCCACCGCCCCTCGGTTGTCTTCCCTGCTACCTTCCCTCAGTCTCTCTCCCCTCTCTCCCGCAGCAAGCTATATTACGTACTTTTATTTTAAGCCGTACTGCACGTCTGAAACGGTGCTCGCGCATGCGCAGTATCTCCCGAGAAGAATATTATTTTGCCAAAATTATGAATTTGGAAGCTTCCGTCTCCGGAGCACCTCGCCGAGAGATTCCTCAAGCGAACAGAGTTTCTCCCTGATCGCATCCATTCCAGTGCTCTGTTCGCCTTCTTCGCCCAGCACTTCACACATATGTTTTTCAAGACGGACATGAAGAGAGGCCCGCAGTACACGTGGGGAGGTCACGGGGTGAGTGTACACGTGACGTCACACTTACACGTGGGGAGGTCACGGGGTGAGTGTACACGTGACGTCACACTTACACGTGGGGAGGTCGCGGGGTGAGTGTACACGTGACGTCACACTTACACGTGGGGAGGTCACGGGGTGAGTGTACACGTGACGTCACACTTACACGCGGGGAGGTCACGGGACGAGGTCACCTTTAACGTCACGCTTACGCGTTGAAGGGGTCACGGGTTAAGTTAACGCGAGCGTGTCCTGTATACGTTTTATTCCAACTCGAGCTATGCATGAGCTCTTGGTGTTTCGATTTCGTATAATATTATTATATAATTATATTAATTATTTAATAATATATTATATCTCATGCAATGAATTTGATTGGTGCGTGAAAATAACGTGAAACTACGCGAACAAAATTTCGAATCCAAACATTGCAATAAGTATTACTTTTGTGTTCATCGCAGGTCGATTTATCCTCGATTTACGGTGAAACAGCAGAGAAGAGAAAACAGCTGAGAAGTTTGACAGGAGGAAAATTGAAAATGCAGGTATACGAATGCAGTTACGTTTTGTTATTTAAATGAATTATATACGCGAATAAACTATGACAAAAAGAAAATCCAACAAGTACTCTCCGTATCTGCAAAGACGTTAATACGTAAAGCTAATAAATGTACGAAATTGAACGCGACAACTGAAAAGCTGCTATTAATACCACCACCTATCGCAATATAAAGTAGGTGATTACGTCATGACCACCTACTGCATGACGTAATATCTATTACAGGTCATTAACGGAGAAGAATGGCCCGTATTGATAAAGGATGCTCTTATCGAAACCGAATATCCTCCCGGATATCCGGAAGAACGTAAATTCGCTCTGGGTCATCCCTTTTACGCGCTTCTTCCGGGTCTGTTCGTATGGTCTACGATATGGATGCGGGAACATAACAGGGTGTGCGATATCCTAAAGGAGGAACATACAGACTGGGACGATGAAAGGTTATACCAAACCGCCCGACTCATCCTTGTTGGTACTACATGTTTCTCACGAGCTATTCGAAGCTGTGCTTATTTCTTTGCTTATTACTTACTGTCTGCTGCTTGCTTTTTGCTTATTTCAAAGAGCATATGAGATAGTTAGTTGTATGTAATTTACGCAGCTATCTATACGCATAGTCGACACAATTTTATACACACAGCCAGTTACATATGTGGTTTATTTACTCTTGATTTTATAAATCAAGAGGTATCGCCATATTATTGAATTATGATAATCTATTATTATTCTAATATTATGATGTTTTGTTTGATTTTGTGTGTGTGTTTCATTTGATGTTATTATTATGTTGTATATTATGTTATTATGTTGTATATTAAATTTTGTTGGTGATTCGGACCAGCCGCATGGTACCATGAATGCTGAATTTGCAAGCATTCTGCATGAAATTAAATATTCCACGATAAATCGAAAAGATTGCGCGCCCTGCTAATAAATTATTTAAACGACATTTCTATTCATTTTTGTAACATTTTTTGTATTTTTTTTTTAAACATTTGAAATGCAGGTGAGACGATAAAGATCGTTATCGAGGATTACGTGCAGCATCTTAGCCAGTATAAATTCAAGCTCAAGTTCAACCCGGAACTACTTTTCGACGTGCCATACCAGTACCAGAACCGCATTGCCGTGGAATTCAACCACCTCTACCACTGGCACCCTCTACTACCGGAATCATTTAACATCAGCGGACAGACGTATCCGATGAAAAGCTACATGTTTAACAGGCAGAGAGAAACCACACCGGAAAAAAAAGAATGAAAACAAAAGTGAAGAGACAACTATAAGAAAGGAAGAGAGAGAAGAGAGAGAGAGAGAGAGAGAGAGAGAGACTTAGATAGTGAGAGAGTGAGAGAGAGAGAGAGAGAGAGAGGAGAGAAGAGAGAGAACAGAAGAGTCGAGAGAGAGAGGAAGGAGAGAGCAGAGAGAGAGAAAGAGAGAGAGAGAAAGACGAGAGAGAAAGGTGAGAGAAGGATCTGGTATCTACCTCGGCGCGACTATGCTTGAATTACTGTATATTATATATTCTCAATGGCTGAAAATGAAAATTTTATCAGGGTGTACTCGTGTTTTGCGTATAATGTTACATTTGATTGGACATTTTTCGTTCGAAAAGAACTTGTTTATCGTTCGAAAGAAAACTTTTACAAAAAGTGTTTTCACTCAATATTCTCGTGCTCCGAACAGTCGTGCCCCAAATAGAAAATTATTTTATTGGAATCTGTATTTGGCGGCTAGCAGGATCAACACAAACGAAGCAAAGATGTCAGCCCCCACCGTTGATTTACATCTGAACTTACCACATTACATGCAATCGTTGTCGCAAAAGTATTGTAAAGGATTTCTGTCAAAAATTAACCCTAATATGTCATGGTAATTACGTTAAATCGTGTTCCCTTTGCTTCAAGTCTAGTGTAGGAGTCGTACATTTCAACTAGTAAACTTTTATTTTAGAAAAAAATAAAATCTTGGATGATCTATTGTACACCATGATCAAGGAGAACAACGTCACCCTAAAACACATCAAAATATAAGCAAGGCTTACAAGCAGATTCCTCCTCCAGAGAATTTACATCAAGTTCCTTGCAATGGATCACGAGGATCGGCCTAAGAATCATATTTTTTTATTTAGCGGACTTTTAAACAGGTAGGTATTCTTTAAACAGGTAGAATATTAACTACTTAGTAATAGGTATATAAAATCTAACATGGTGATCTAACATATAGTACAGGTCACCTGGTTGGGTTAGACGTGATTCATGCATATCAATGGATTGTTGAAACTATTACTTATAAGTAATAACATTCATTGTATGTGATCTCGGCAAATAAATGATGCAAATTAAGTGAAGGGACTCCATAAACTGTAACTATAGAAAGGGGCTGATAAGGGTCTGATGTCCCCCAAAAAGGGTACTGCCGAACGTACCCTGGTACGGTCCGGTAATACCGGACACGTACCCTGGTACTAATATTATATGCGGACGCGTACCTGAGGGGAGGGCCTACTCGCACTGAAACGAGTCTAGGGAGTCACCTAGCGGCTACTCGCTAATCCTAAACCGACCCCGAACCCGGAACCCTAAAAACCTAAGCGCGCTAACCCCTAATCCTAACCCCTAACCATACAGACTAGTGACCAGGGTACCAGTTTGGGATACCGACCGTACCCAGGGTACGTTCCGGCAGTACCCTGGGGACATAGACCCTCAGTGAGGCGTAACTAGGCATGTACCAGGTTTATATACTTAATTGTCCTGTCAGTGCTAATTATGTATATTTCCTTTCAGTTCAGAAACAACCAAACAAAAACGTAACTTGGTTCATAGCAAATAACTGCAACTTATCAAGCCACTGAGGCAGTCCTGAGAGCTGCATGATGACAGAGATAAAACCAATAGCAAATAATATTGTAATATAAGCATTAATTTTTATTGGTTAGGTAGGCATGTTCAACTTGTGGAGAAGCACACAGCGATTAGCACAGAGCGACAGGTATTGTCCACTCACTGAATGCAATTAATTTATCGTGTCAATGCAAGAACGATCGAACTATAGTGACAAGTGTGAATGGCTTCTTTCTGGCCACATTGTTATGTGCATGTCATCGAATTTATATAATAATATAATGAATGTCAGAAAACTATAAATTTTTTTTTTTTTTTTTTTTTTTTTTTTTTAATTATACAAATGTGAGCAGTCTCTATTACTAGTTAATATGCCTATAGCATTTAATAAATTTATATATATATACCAATAATTATATATGGATAGAGAGATAAGGCTAATATATTGCCATATGTAAAGTTACCTCGTGTGAATTCAAGAGTGAAGTTGTCAAGGAACTCCAGAACACCTGTCTGTACATAACAGGTGTTGGGAAAAACATTGGAGGATACCCGTAAAGACGCACCTTGATGCTACAAGAAACACACACTACACATAATGATTCAGGATATGATATATGATATATATGCTAATAGGATGCATTTCGTCTCGTGAAACAAAAATAGATAATGCTGTAAAATAATGATCTTCTCTCTCATGAAAAATATGCATTAATGTGATCCTCATCGCTTCAGAGGTATGGCTCTAACCGTTGCGTGAATAGGGTGCCTAAGATTGTTATTCACGGTCCGCCGGACTCATGAAGCATCCATATATGACCAAAGGTTTCATGTGACCAAGGATATGAATATTGGTACATAATTACTCAGGCTTGATTCCTGTACTTGTAGTGATGGATGTGATCAAACCTTTCAAAGTGCTGACTGATGCAAAACCACATGACAAGACATGTAAGC